ACCATAGTTGAAAAAGCCCCCCGAAACAGCAGTCCAGGATGGGGAAGGGAAGCACAAACACTGCCCCAGCTACACACTGGAATAGGAAAAGCAGTGAAATGAGTATTTTTCAGTCTACAGTGAGGAAACTCCACAGCACCATCTCCAAAGAGAAAAATCAGCTTCTTCTGCTTGACTCTCACGTCAAGGATACCCAGAGAAAGCATGTGCACGTACACAAGGATACATGTGACAAGAAAGGTAAATAATTTTCATTTTTGCATTTTACTGAACACCTACAGGCACCACTTTCACACCATGGAAAGGCTTGGAAACCTTTAGAACTGTCACCTAAAACAAATACCAAAATACGTGAAAACTGCACGAGTGTGTTTTAGAAACCATTGTGAAAATCTGCTACTGGATAGGAGCAGTTTTGCTGGTTTCTGGAAAGTTTAGCCCTTCTTTCTTCCCCAGAAGAATTTTAAATGAGTTCAGATGAGGGGTAGAGAAGCCATGGAAAAAAAAAATTAAAAAAAAAAAAAAAAAAGAGGTGTTGGTAGTTCCTTATGTAAACAAACAATTTTATTAAGTGACTTGGAATAAAGCAGCTGCTCAGCATTTGCTCTGTGTCATCCCCACTTGCAAAGGGCTGAGATTTGGCTCCACAGACAGGCTTAAAAAAAAAAAGGCAAAGAATGAGAGGGAGAAGGTTGTGAATCATCAGACTGGAGATGTTGTGCACCCATTCCCTGACTCTGCAGTGTTCAGCTACAATGTCTGCACCTGTACAGGTGGAGTTTCACTTCAATTCTCCTAATGGGACTTTTTAAAAATTGTTTCCTTGAATCACACTACAGAAGAGAAGAACAAGAACTCGGGAAAGCTGTATTTTAGAAGCATAAGGAAATACATGCTTGTGTATGAGATATGCAAAGCAAAAAGCATTAAAATCAGATCCCATAATTATCCCCAGTAAATGAGAATCATCACAACCATCCTTCAGAGAAACCAGCACAAGGTGCTTCTGCACTTCCATGCAGGTCCCAGATGATCACAGCCTCAAAGTCCTCAGTGTGTTAACAGTTTAGTCCAAAATCTCTCTGACTCAAGATTGACAAACTCTACACATCTATGTAGTTGTAAACTTATTATTCCCTATCCCTGGAAGTGTCCAAGGCCAGGCTGGACAGGGCTTGGAGCAACCTGGGCTAGTGGAAGGTGTCCCTGCCCATGACAGGGGGTGGAACAAGATGATCTTTAAGGTCCCTTCCAACCCAAACCATCCTGCCTCCAGAAGGGAAGTGGCTCAGTGACAACTGAGCTGGCATCGTGGTTGTAATCTTCAGTAAAAAGGGAAACATTTCCCTACAGCCCAGTAAACTAAAAATATGAAAGACTCTGATATTAAAATATTAGCAGAGGCAAAATAAACATACTTAATAAATAAGCATCCAATTCCACACAGCAAGACATAAGAGATGATGTTAGGAGCTGTTCTGGGCAACAACACTGTATAAAGTCAGCAATAAAATTTCTTCAGTCACAAATGGGTACGGATTTTTTTCTTATTTTCTGTTTTACTCCACTCAGTTTGTACTGTGACAAATTATATACCTCTTTATTTCCTACTCCTCTGCTTAATACGAGATAAGAACAGCAGAGATGGAGCCTATTTGCAACCCACTCTGGTGACACATTTTATGCAACCAAACCACAGGGATTAGAGAAACAACCTTTCCCCCCAAGTAATTACAGAGAAGCTTTTTAAGAAAACTTTGTTCTTGTAGAAATGCCATTTAAAGGACGTTCTAGAAAAACCCTTGGAGCACTTCTTAGAGTGACTTTTGCTATCAGGCAATGCCTGTGACATGCACTGCAGAAGTAAACAGGAATTTTATATCTACAAGTCACCACCAACAGCCATGAGTGTTAGAGCAATTCCTTTGCAAAAGGTTTGGGTTTGACAGATATTTCCACCATAAACTTCAGAAGAGGAAAAAAAAAAAAAGCCTTCCATAAACTATGTAAACTCACTTCTGCATTGAAACTGCGGCAACACAGTTTTTTCTTGAAGTGAAAGGTACTTTTAGAAATGTGGATTTTACTATTCCACACAATGCCTCAAATCACTTTCATTCTGCATCGGTGTGGGTACATTTGAAACTGCAACAGCACTGTTTGCTGTCACAAAAATAATGATGATGATAATAATAACAACAAAAATCCCACTAAAATGTCTGCAACTTCCCTTTCCTTGTGCTTGCAGCTCACCAGCTCCTCAAGGTATAATCCTGTGGCCATTTCAGAATCAAAGTGCATTCACATCAAAGTAGTTTATGAGAAATCACTGATGCACCTACTGGGTTCTGAGGTGCAATTCCACAAGGCACCGTTCCTATTGAAGATGCTGAACTATATTTTCACCCATCTCATGCAAGACAAGGTTGTTTTCCCAAGATTTATTGTGTCTGCCTTAGCTTGTAGTTACCTAATTTCATTCTGACAGTAGTCAAAGAAATTCAGCAAAATAAAGCATTTTTACATAAGATATTAGGTCCTGTGAACTCATTAAAAGCAAGAGATTGTTCAAAGGACTAATTTTTGCAGCAATGGATAAAAAAGAGCCATAAGGAAACCATCCATTTCTGCCACAATAAATATCACTGCTCCTTATCTATTACTTACATACATATCCTATATAAGAAAACACACACACAAAAAAAAAAAATCTTAGTATAGTCCAGAAACATTGGTGCTAAATTAATGGCTTGGCTTCCAGAAAGCCATCCCTGAAGGATCAGCAGTTCCTCCATCCTGGGCACGTGAGTTTGTTCCCAGCAGCCACATTTACCAACACACCCCTGGTCAGGAAAGCACAGAGACCAGACCCAGAGGTTTGGCACCAGAGCTGAAATCTAAAAGAACCATCCAGTGGAATATATGTTGGCCTTAAACCAGGGCACCATATTTCTGTAAAGACAATATTTTTAATCTTTAGGAGCACAAATCCACCCTGATCAATCTGCCAAACTTATGTTTCCATTTAGGCAAAAACACATGTGGAAGCTAATTTTTATTTCTATTCCACTACAAAATAATTACATATTAGAATTACTAATTCCATTACTAATCTCAAAATTAACCCCAAATCCCTGCTATAAAAACCAAAAGAGCAGCAGCAGAGATTTTTATTAAAGAGTAAGCTACCTCCAAAACGAAAACATTTTCCATTTAAATTGGGAGAGTTATATATGGTTATATTTAAGAAATTTTTAACACCCTGAATCAAAAAAATTAAATGAAAAAAAGAAAGCATGAGACAAGCAGAGTGTCAAAGGACATGGAAGTGAACCTGGGACAACTACTCTACAAGAGGAGTGGGAGTAGTTTGCAGTAGAAGACACACTGAAAACCAGGAACAGTATTAATCAATTATTGTAGGGGAAATAGCAAATGAATTTTAACCTGCTGAACAGTGTCCAGGGCTCATTTTTAACCTGCTGAACAGTCTCCAGGGCTCTTTGATCCCAGGAGCTGATCCATACCCAGTTTTGGCCCAAGGACCCACTCACACGAAGCACAAGGTTGGCACCAGTCTCTGCCAACGGCGTCTTAATTCGTGGGCCCTAAAACTTCACTCTTCAAATCCTTGCTCTCAACTCAGAGCTAAACCTAAGCTTAACTACAGCCAGGGAATATCTGAAATTAAAGTTCAACCCCCCCAGCACTCTCACCCACTTCACAGTTACTGCCTGGGGAGTGTTTACTCTGCACTGAGAGCACCCACATGGGGAATCCATCCCGAGCAGCCCCTGGACTGGAAAGTCAGACTGATTTTATTAACATAAGTAAGTGCAAACTGACACTTTATTTGAAAGATGTGGAAGAAAATTAATGCAACTTCGTTATCAACGAATCAGATGGTAAAATACTAAAAGATTAAGTGCAGTTGATAACAATTCAATCTCCCCAAAATTATAAATAATAGTCAGTGTAAAGAATTTAAAGATTAAAAGCTGGAATTTTTATTAATGTCTGTAGTGATTTAAGATAGTCTCTATTTATGCCAAATACCTCAGAGATTACAGAAATAAAGAAATACAGACTTCAGCTCTGTGACTTTTATTGAATAAAAGTATCTTCACTTGCCTCTCTCAGCCCAGATAAGGTACATTGTAATATTTAACTGAATAGTTTTAGCAAGTAACTCCTGGTTTGTTTCAGAATAGTCTGTTTTCCCTGAAAATTATTTCCATAACTTTCAATTTAAACTGGATAAACACATGGAAATAATAGTTTACATAATCAAAAATGGAAGCAGCACAACAAGAGTCGATCTTGTCCTCTGTGTATCTGCTGTGTGTAAACCACTCCCCTGCTCACAAAACATCAAACTTGGGGTGTCTTGATTAGTTTTTTAATGTACAAGGTTGGCAAAAATATCGAGTTACTTAATAAAAAGTGTCTCCTGTTTGCTGCAGACACTTCTCCAAGCCTTAGATCCATGTGAAAAACAAGTATTCACACAAAAAAGTGTGGTACCAACGGGGAAAAATCCACATTAGAGTTGTAATTTATGGATATTAAGTAAAATATAAAATCACAAACATCATATACTACATCAAGGTAAAATACCATTTAAATAAACACATCTTTCAAATTTATCCCTTCCTCTAAAATAGCCCCAAGCAACAAGTCTTTAGTTTGGATTATTTACTTTCAATGAATCCAATCTGAATTGAACCCAGATCCTTTTATTTAAGAAGCCAAGACCAGCTGACATCAGGAACCTCAATTCCCACCACTCAAAAGTCAACAAATTTGGGTGATTTGGTTCTTGCTTTACTTTTTTTCCACTCTTCTGGTCGACTGAGAACCCCGAAAATGCAGCTTTACAATGGGAAGAAAACCCAGTCAAACTATAAGAAGGCCATTAGATGAGACAAAGCCTAAATTTGTTACATAAATTTGACTAAAAACCTCAGGGATGGTTCAACAATTATTCCATGTTCACTTACTTCAAAGTCTCTTCCAGTTTGCGGATTTTCTTCTGAGCATCCCCTCTTTCTTTATCCAGATCGTTCTGAATGACATTAATCTGCCATTTGAAGGAAAAAAAAACAGCCATGTTTTAGCTAAAACAATGCCACTGTTCAAAAGAAATAAATGTTATTTTTAATTCTAAAAACTATTCACGCATTTCTTTTGCACTGATGCAGAGAACCATCTATAGGTTTCTAAAATTATGTAAAATGCAAAAGTAGAGATTAAGAGAGAGATGAAATATGAGCCAATAGAGTTATTTTGATTCTCAAAGTGAATATTATTCTCTACAATAAAGAAATATCAGTAATTACAGAAGAAAAGGGAATTACATTTTCTTTAGGTAAGTACAGTGCCTAAAATAGTGCCATGTATTCATTCTCTAGGGTGCAGGGCTCCTACTTACCAACTTGTGAACACCCAAAGCCAATCACTTACCAATTCTTACCACAATAAAAGTAACAAATGTAAATATTTTACATAAACATCCTGAGGAATAACAGTAATAAAACAAGTAGTAATAATAATTATAATGATGATGATAATAATAATATTACTCAAAAATAGGTATAAGAATCTTTGACTTTGGCAATCTCCCAAGAGTGGTGCAAACCACGAGTTTTCCTAATATTTTCTGCCAAAGGTAGATGAAGTACAAGAGTTTGCATTCCTTTAGGATTGCTCAAGGAACAAGATTTTTCTCCATGAGATGAGAAGCCCAGGAAATCCTTTATTCACTCGCAGTCATTTGTAATATTGCATGCTATTAAGTCACTACAAGAAAGAAAAACGTGTTCTAATAAATGTATAGTCCAATGAAAAACCAAATGCAGAGATTCCCTGCTGTGAGCAATTCCTTGTGGGTGTTCACTCCAGGATGGTCTGAGCACTTAGTTGGGTTCCAAGAACCTCCAAACCCATGGGCTGTCTATCAGAGTAAAGAAGGTATTGCCAAACCTGGTAAATTCTGTATATTTAACAGCTGGTTCGGGAATGGTTCTCAGGAATAACCTGTCCCTGTTCCTATGCTGAACTGAATGTTTGGAAAACAAGCAGTGGATTATTTATAAAAAGCAGGTGTTTCCTTGGCTTGTAAAGCCATTTAGTCTAACTGGTTCCTGATACAGCAGATAAGCACCTTTAATCAAACAGTGACATTTAGGGTTACTACCTATTATTTGTTTGATGTTTAAGTATCCTCACAGCAACAGCCACTGTAGACTCATAAAGATTATTAGATAATGGGTAGGTTTTCAAGTGAACAGATTGCACCAGAGACTTCATGATTCCTTCACTTGAAGGCAAGCTGGTTTTAGTATTTTATGGGCCAATCTATCCTGTTTTATTGATTTATGTCCATAGATAATTCACATGTATTTTTCTTCTCCTCCTTCCTCAAAGATCTGATTTTGAGAACACAATTACATCAGAATTTATGAACAGGCAGAGTACTTGTAAAAGTTATTTATAAAAATAAAGGTTCTGCTTCCTCGTTTACGGAGTTGCAGCTTCACTGCCTGGGCTCACTGGTGTGGGGGCACTGCTGCCATGCCCTCAGCCCACAATGAGGAGTTTTCCCCCAAATGATCCTCAAACCTCATTCAAGACTCATCACAGGACAGGCTCTGCTGCAGAAGGGCAACACAGCAAGTTTAACAGGTAGATGTGAGGCATTTAATGCATTTGGACTTCAAATCATGGAATATCCTGAGCTGGAAGGAGCCAAAAGGATCATCCAAGTCCAACCCCTGGCCCTGCACAGACACCCCAACAATCCCACCCTGTCCCTGGGAGTGCTGTCCAAACCCTCCTGGAGCTCTGGCACCTTGGGGCCGTGCCCACTGCCCTGGGGAGCCTGGTCAGTGCCAACCACCCTCTGGGGGAAGAACCTTTTCCTGAGATCCAACCTAAACCTTCCCTGTCTCAGCTTCATACCCTCCCTGGCACCTGGAAACATGACCAGACATATTTAATCTGTACTTATCTGCAGAGGAAGTGATGTATTGTTATAAACCAAAGTGATATATTGCAATAAATCAGTGTCCACTTTACCTCAATAACCACAAGATACCCAAATTATGCCAGTGTATTTTTATTTTGACCTGCAATATTACTCCAATCTCAGATTTTTCTGGAGTTCAACACTCATAAAAACCCATGACTTGACTAAAAAGGTAGGCAAGGTTTAAACCAAAGCAGATCTCGGAACAAAAAAGGGTTTGACTTCAAGTCAGCAGAAGGGACTAACTCAAACCAAAACCCCACTGCAATTCATGTCACAAATGCTATTACCAAGTGACAAGTAACTGGGATCACAATCCATTATTTCATGTTATAAATTTGCCACATTTGGAAGTGACATGTTTGAGTAACACATCCTTTCAATTAAACAGGCATCTAAGCACCCTCTGACTGAACATGAGTTGCACACATAATGTCACTAAAATAGAAGTTTAATTTGAAACCTATTGATGTTTAAATCCTGAAAGAGCAGACAGCATTTGCAAAGTGCTTTAAGATGAAGTGTTTCTGATGAAAATTACATTTTTTGCTTTAAGTTTCTGATGTAAAAACAATGCACGTTGACAATACATAGAGAACACATGGAGAAGGATGGAATAGAGATATATTGGGGAAAAAGAAGTATGGAAGAACACGTGAACACTGACAAGAGGCCAGGTTTCATTCAGTTCATTATCTTTTCTCTAGCAGCAGTTGACATCAGCTGCCACCAGTGTAAAATAACAGGACAGGCTTCCAGGGGCAATTCTTTGGGAATGCCTTCCCAGCCCAAATCACTGGGCAACAGGTTCCCAGAATCAGAGGTGACATCTCTGTGCTCGAATAGCTGTCCTTAAAATCTTCCTTGAATTTGTCCCGTTATTTTTCCAAACCTTGTGAAATGCTTGGATTCCAAAATTTACTACTTTGTGGATTTCAGAATTTAAACTTTTACTTCTGTACAGAACAAAACTGGAAATGTGCACAGGATGGTTCATTTTCCTTGCAAACATTACCTGTTTCTCATACACACGCTCCCAGTGAAGTTTGTCCTGCTGAACCTTGTATTCTTGATCCTGCAAGGGAAGAAATGTGTATTCTAAATAATCCAATCACATTTTTCTTCCATTTCAAAGCAGTCAAACACATACATTTGCTGTTATATAGAACAGCCCATAAAAATTAAAAATCCACTCGATATCATCCTTAAAAAATTCTCTGACATACCAAAAAAAATTCAACCAACAGCAAATAACAAAACTATCTCAAAAGTCATGATTCATGTTTTTTAAAGAGAAACAGCAACTTGTTTTCCTGAGCTATTAAAATGCCATTCTGTACTTTATCAACTGTGAAATGAAAGACATTGGAGGAGAAGGAGATGCCAAAACTCCAACAGGACTGATACATGATACAGATGTGGAACTCATTATCCTCAGATAGGAGGATTAATTTAAATGCCTACAGGAAGGCAGAATATTGAACTGAACTGTTCAAGAGTGACAAAATTAAAAACAATTTTGAAACTTACTTTTAAAGTGTTTACAGTTTATGATAAAAAAAAAAGACATCCATCATTCTTTGTCATGTTTCTCTGTAATCCACCAACACACATTTCAACTGTTTTATTTAACATGTGAATTACAAGAAACAGTCAAAAGATTTCCGTGAAAATTCTGCCCTCACCTCTTTCAGTCCCACTTTTAAATCAACCTTTAAGCAAAAAGGTGACACTTTATATATTTCTATTAATAAAACACAGACAAGCAGGCATGTTGAAATAAGTGCATTCCAGTATGGCTGTTGAAACATTTAAATCAACAAAAAAAAAGGAGAAAAGGTTGGTCATCCTTTAGGAAAGTCAGGGCTCACCTTCAGCTGTTGCTGCCTTTGGTGTTCTGATTCCTTCAATTGTTGCTTTAACTGAGTCACACTCCTCTGTAATTCCTCAATCACATCAGATGTCTGCAGGGATTTAGCAGAAAAAGGGGTTTTTGGGTTGCACTCCTCACTAGCTCTTCAGATTCATCTTTTGCATCTTTAAATTTATTTCTCAAAGCTGCCCAAAATTGGGAAAAAATTAACAACTTGGGAAAAAAAAACCTGTCTGAGTTTACAGCTCTGGAAACGTCACTTTGGGCCCTCTGGTGAACTTAGAAATGTGTGTCGGAATCCTCTGGTATCCAGAATTTTAACAGAACAAACAAGGTCAGGGTATTAATTGTATCTTACCTGAATCAGCTGTGGAAATACCCCCTGTATGGGGACACACACCCCAGAATTATCAGTCAACTTCAGGTGATTTTTCAGTCAAATTTGGGAATGAGAAATTAAATTCCAACTCTATTTAAACTCACACACGAGTAACTCAGAGAGTTGAACAGTTACTCGTATTTATACATAAGCATTATATTTATATTGAGGAGACCACTTAAACAAACCACATTTTCCTGCCTATCATACCTTAGCTGCAGAGAGAGCTTGTTCCTGCTTTATAAAATCTCTATCAACATCAAATTTACTTTGTAGTCGCTGGATGTTCTCCTTGTACTCCTGCATAATGTGCTCCTTGTCTTTCTGTAGCAAGTTGTACCTACAAGGAGCAAGCAAATAGAATATGGAAATTGCTTTCATATTTTGGCATTTTTACCTGCTCAGTATCAACTCTACAGATCCTGCATGTCTGCCTGTGCCACTGCTCCTGTCACACAACGAGCTGCTTATAAATAATGGAAAGACAACACCCTCCTCAGGATGGTTGGTTGGGCCAGTCCAAAAGGAGTTGGACAACAATTAATACATTTTCATGAAAGCTTTTTAATGTCAAATAACATTCACAGTGCTCTTGGAGCAAAATGAACAGTGTTTGCTCTTGGAAATTCCATATTCTTAAATGGTAAACAGGCAAGTGTTGTTTAATTACCTTGCTTTGAGTTCCTGAAGTTCAGAGCACAAGTCCTGGTAACGCTGCTCTGCTTCCATCTTCTCCTGAGATAATTTTTGCTGCAGCAAATGACTATTTTCAGCCTCAACAGTCAACTGCTGGACACGAGCCCCCAGTTTTTGGACAGTCTCGTTCTAAAAGAATAAGTCATGTTGAGGAAACCCAGAATAAATGAGGGAATAGTCCTGTTGTTATTCAGTAGCCTGGAGCAACAAGGTTCTTTGGTGATCCAGAGGCACAAGGGTTACAATAGCAAAGCTGTCATCAATCACGACAGTAAATTCTCTGTTCTACACAAAACATAAATAAACCTTCAAAATACGGATGTCTATCCCCTCTCAAAGTAACACATCTTTTCCCTTAAGCAAAGCAGTCAATGCAACTGATTTTTAAATTGCAAATCTCTTAAAATGGGAGAGAAGATGGGTATTTCTATGGAAAACTGTAATGGGTGATAACACACATAAAGGATTTTTAGACCTCCCATTAATCTAATTACAGTGATTTCCTCTCAATAAATCACATCTATTAAAAGCTGCATCTTTTTCCTAGAACTTCATCTCCTAATGTAAACAAATTTCAAAAGAAGCAGAATAAGAACAGGCAGGTAGCATGAGACTACTCTGCCACTTCCCATTCTTCCCTAAATTTATGGTAACATGCACGGAAATGAGAGGACTCCTCAGGAGGCTGAAGTCAAAAAATAAGACCCAGCTGTCCTTCCAGGACGTGCAGATCACAGTTATTTTTATACTAACAAAGGCCTGAAGATGGGGGAAATGGGAACAGAATTTTCACCCACTGTTAAAGTAAAATAAAAATCCAAACATCAGCCACCTGCAGGCACTGCCCTGACTGGGACAAGAGCCTGGAGCAAAGCCAGAACCTCACACAGGGTCACCTGGATGGTCACCTGAGCTTAAAATATTCCATGACCACAGCAGAGCAAAGTTCTCCATCAATGCAAAGCCAACTGCACAGGAATGTTTGGGGTTTTTTTTCTGGGGGGGGCAAAGGGGTGTTTGTTTTGGGGGTTTTTTGTTGTTTTGGTTTTGTTGCTTCAGGTTTTCTGTTTGTTTTTCCTTGTTTTGGGGTTTTCTATTTGTTTGGGGTTTTTTTAAAGGAAAAAAAAAAGTACTGACATATTAACAAATATAATAACTCCTCCCTGGCCCTGTGGCCCTCGAGGAAGTTCACATTTGTGCACAACCCCCTCCTTATGAGCTCTCTGGCATTAGTTCAATTGTTCAGCCCATTCCTCTCTCTAACAGCCCTGGCATTCCTGACAACATGAAACTCTGAACAAGGAAAAACTCTGAAATACCAACCAACCAAAAAAAAAAAAAATAAAATCAGGAGACAGAAAGAAGGAGAGAGAGAAAAAAAGAAAACTAATTTCCAGTGACAATCTAGTCTTTCATCTTAAGCCCTGCCTTGAACTCTACCTTGTTTAATTATTAAATCAGAAGCTGCTCAGCAAGATCTGTCTAGTTTTGATGGTTCTTAAATTCAATCTTGCTGACAGACTGTGTCCATTTTTCTCTGTATTTACTGTTACCTATGACATGATCTGAATGTTAATTTTTAAATTCAACATTCATTAATAAAGGAATAAATTTTGTTTGACATTGTCTTTTCACTCATTCAATTTTCTTCATGTCTCACCCTGATAAAAAGTACAGGATGTTTTTTGAGGTTACCTGCCAATTTTTAGCTTTTTGCATCATTTATATAAGAGGCACAAAATCCACATTATACCTTATTCCATGTTTATAATGATTCTAGAAAAGAAACGTAATACATTAGAATAATCAATAATTATTTTTATGTGATCTTTAATCTAACAAGCATTTGCTCATTCAAAGAGAAGGTGGGTAAGTAAAGAGTCACAAGTATCTTTGAAAATAGATCTACTATATAAATCTTTTTTATAGTGCACAAATCTACAGAAACAAAAGTTCTGCTAACTTGAATCAAAACCAGTGAGAAATATTACAGTCAGTCCTTCATCACAAATATTTTTCTCTGTAATACTGATTGAAGGGCTGTGCTTTGATTAATTTTATCTGGGGGAAAAACCCTTGGTTGGATTGGCTGTCCTCTCAAAGGACAGAATAACTGCACTGCACCATCAAAAATAAGTATATACACAAATCACAGAATCATGGAATGGTTTGGGCTGGAAGGGACCTTAAAGATCATCTGATTCCAACCCCTGCCATGGGCAGGGACACCTTCCACTAGCCCCAGTTGCTCCAGCCTGGCCTTGAGCACTTCCAGTCCACTTGAACACAAACCCACGAAGTCTGAATGTTGGAAAAGACACTTGCTACTGTGAGATGTCCACAATCAAACTCACAGTGGACTGGGTCTGCTGCAAATACTCCTCCTCCATTTTGTGGAGCCGGGCGTTGGTTTCCTCCAGCAGCTCCTGCATGTCCTCCGTGTGCTTCTTCCGGATGTTGAACTTCTCCTTCTCCATCTCAGCCACAGCATCGTGAAGCTGTGCATCAGAAAAACAGCAGAAAATAATGAATGGCATCTAAAACTAGCATTTATAAGTATTAGATTATTGTAGAATACAAACAGAACGACTGAAAGGCCCGGGTGGTCACATTTCTGTCCTTTCTAACAAGACAATTTGCTCACTAAATAGGTCTGCTATGACTCTACAAAGCTGTAAGAAATATAAGCAAGTCATTTAGAAGTGTGTAGAGGGCATAACTTAATCCACACAGAATGCTAAAAGACATACTTTTGCCATGCTCTAATATTCTATTGGAATGAGATGATCTTTAAGGTCCCTTCCAAACCAAACCATTTTGGATTCTATGAGAAAAGCCCATTTAACACTGAAGCCTCGAGGTCTTCAGCACAAAGGACAAGATTTATGATTTATCTCTCAGAAGGCAAGAATTAAACCCAACATCATTTCCAGATGCAGGGCTGCAAAAAAATTAAATTACACAGCATTCTTCATCTATAAAGGTGGGTGGGTCTGCCCTTTTTGTGACCCTCCCTCTCCCAAGTGGGGGGAGCAAGACAAATCCTGACAATAATCTGGACAAAGGTGACACTGTCTCACAATAAACATGCTTTTCCCCCTGCTTTGCCACTGTCTTGATTTTAACAATAAATAAAAATACACTGAAGAATTCGTGACCCATTGCAAAAATAAGAGTTCAAAGGAATCACCGTGGCAGCAGGTAGCAGCAGGTTTACCCAGATTAAAATTCCATGTCAGGTCAACCAGAAATAAACACTTCCCTAATACATCCAGAGACTTGCCAGGAGGCCAGATGAACCCCAGGCACAGGGTGACCAGCTGGGTGGGTGTGGGTGTGCAGGCATCAGCAAAAAGAGGTTTAATTACTCCAGAGAAAAAAAAACAATAATCAAAATCAGCATAAAAAAACATCCCTCAAAGTAACATATTCCTTATATTTATTTTGTTGAGTGACAAAGTGTATTATATCAGACAAACACTGTAGGAATCTGTCAAGAAAGCAAGTATTGTTCATTACCCTTTTCTCCCACTCATTGTTCAGGGAATCATTGCTTTGCTCACACATCTTCTTCAACTCCACAATCTGCTGCTCTTTGGCTTCTCTGACAACTTGGGACTCACGAACAAGGGTCTGAACTGTTAAAAATGGGAAAATAAACAACCATTCAAGAGACACCTTTGGGATTGTTCAGTGCTGGCAACAATCAGTTTACATCAGCTTTCCAATTGACCCGACTTTCTGATGTTTTTTGGCTCTAAAATACTTAATGCATGGGCTGCTTCAAAATTTAGCACTGTGATTCTGTGTCACTGCAGTATTACAAGGTGTTCTCTGTTTTCTGCTTTGTTTACAGAATATTTCAGAGTGAGTTTTCCTTCCTGAAGGAGTAAATGCACATCAGCAAAATTCCTTATAACCTAAAGAAAATAGGCATTTTTAACCTGATTTCATGAGCATCCCTAGAAGAAGAGGTTCTTGTGAATATTAAAGATACACAAGGAAATTAAGTTCCCCAAGTGACTGCATCGAGAATTCACAGTCTAACAAATTTAGTGGAAAACAAAGCAGGTACATATTCATTTTTCAGAAGTGACTGAGGATTTTCATTATCTGGTAAAAGTGGAGGCAACTCAAACACAACCTGTTCCAGCCAAGAGCAACCACCAACCCACTGAGGGAGGCACCAGATTCCTTGTTGGACAAATTACTTTCCCAAGGAGGAGGAAACAATATCCATGGAACACTCTCCCTTTTTGTACATAGATTACCAAACTTCTGTATTATTTTACATTGTGGTTTAGTCCATAGTGTAAAAGGACTCCAAGGAATTCTAAAAGAAACTAACACTGAAAAACTGCTGACAAGCCACACTCAGGCCAAGTTTTGTACTTATGACATATTCAAGACTACTCATGTTTGAAATCTCTTGCCGCAACAGTTTTAAAAATAACCCATTGTGGTTTGATTAAAATGTACTGAATGCATAAAGAAATTAACTTTGGGCCAGAGGTTCCAAAAAGTTTGAAGTGAGTGGTCAAAATACTTCAGCCCCATCAAAGAAACTTTTTTTGGTGATGCTCATAAAACCTGTGTTAAATATAAAAGATCACAGGCCTCCTGTGGGTTGGAAACAGCAAAGGCAACTGGACAAGCCTCTCAAAATCTAAAGGAAAAAATAAAGTGAAGACCTGCAAATGCAGAAGAAAGGGATGTCTGAAGGAGGAACACAAGCCCACAGCCACAAGAGAATGCAGTGCAATACCACCACAGAGAAAACAAGCAGGAAGAGAAAAATCACCTTTTTTCTCCAGTCTTCTGATCACCTCCTCAGATTCTTTTTGTTTCTTTTTGTAGGTGGACTTCAACACCTCTATTTCGTCGTTCTTTCTATCCAAAATCTGCAGGGACAATTCAAACTATTTTAACAAGAGTTCAGAAAAATCAAAACTACAACCAGTGCACAAAACAATCCACCCTGATCTCTGGCAAAGGCACTGCCTTCAAGAAGTGCTCAGGTCCTGCAGGACTGTGATTAAATCTAAGTCATTTTTCACAGCTCAGACTGCCCACTCATAAACAAAGGACTGCTGTAAATAAATGTAGGCAGAAGTACATTAAAAAGGAGTTTCATGCTTTAAGATGGGTCTTTTTGTTTCCTTTCAAACCTAGGCAAACTCTGTGTTGCTCCTGTTGAGTGTGGAAGTTCCATAGAGCTTCTATTGCAACAGAAAAGATGGGTTTCCCTTTTCATATTTAAGTTGCCTTATACTATTTAAAAGCACCTAAAATTCTCAGCAGGTTGAAGAAATATGGAAAATAAATTGGTAAACTTGACTACACTCTTCTGTGCTTCACCAATTGCAATTCCTTGCATGGATTCCAAGGAACAAAGGCTTGGAATAGAGGAAGTATATGAAGGTAACTGCACCCCCATTTCTGAACACGCCGATTTTGGAAAAAAACAGCTCAAATATTTGCACACTTTGAGATAGTATTTTAATTTAAAAAACTTTGTGTTTAAGATAAAGATTAAAGTCCCAGAAATTTTATAACTGTGCCCCAAATCTCTTATCCAACAGAAGCTTTCATCTTAAAACAATATTACTCCATCTGCAATAAACGTTTTGCGTCTTTAAAGATTAATACGACGCCGTTTAACCTTTTCTAAAATATCCAACGTGATTAAACGACTTCAAAAGACGGAATTCTAACATCAGTTAGAAAGGGCTGACAAACTCAAGGGATGAGAAAGCATTTCAACTATTTCTTATTCTCACAAAGCTGTTTCCTTTCGACTCCCGGCTTCGCTCGCCGGGTTCTGCTCGCAGGCTCTCAGAGCAGATGAGCCAAAAATGCACCTGACCAAATATTAACATCCTTTCAAGAGGCTTTGATGTGTCACAGTGTTGTGTCAACCAACTTCCTCCAAGGCTGTGACTCAGCCTTAAGAAACAAAACAGAGGCAGTGAGTAATGTAGAGCTTACAGTGGGATCAGCCATCGGGATCCTGGCGCCGAGTGTTTAATTCCTGCCATGTCCCCAGGATCAGAGAGAGTCCAGAGGCACTCAGGACCTTCCAGAATTTTACCCCATGTTTAAAACATGGCATTGAAGGTAACCACGTGGTCTGTGATAGCCTTTTTGTGACCTTCCCAGAAGTGGTGCTGTGCAACACAACAAAGACAAACCCAACGGAACCCAAAGAAGCAGATCTGGTGTCGTGTCGGTGCTGAAGAATTAAGAGCCACATCAGGTTTAACAACACAGAAACATAAATAAAGGGCTGTTCAGTGACCAGGCTTTGCTACAAGACCCTGTCAAAATGGAGACAGGAGAACAAACACTATTACTGTATGAGCAGGAACATATCTGATATACTGGTGGATTTTCCTACTGTTACATTTCACATTTTGTCCATAAAAAGTCTTTATTCACATTTTTCTATAACACAGGTGCTCTCTCTCTGAAAGAAAAATCACAAGTTTGTGATTTCATCACAAACAAACCCACAGAAGTTGTTGGGCTGGTAAAATAGGTTCTCTTGTTCAAACAAACAAATGCCCTCGTGTATTTTCCTTTGTTTTCTTCCCATGTTTTCCCTTTCCTAAGTTTATGTTACCATAGAACACTGCACATTCCTATCAGTTTATGCAAACTTACCTACAATCTGGCTTTTAATGAACATTAACTGCAATTGTGGAGAAGTTAAAGAACAACTGCTAGTTATTAATTATAATCATATTCTCTATTATGAACACATTTTTTTGGAAGAAAATACAAACGCTTTTTACCTTTTGAACGTCAGCATCGTGCTTCTGCTGTAATTTCACTTTTTCTTCATGAAATTTACCTTCTGCTATTTTCACTTTCATTTCCAGCTTTAAAAGCAAAACAGGATAGGCAATTTAAATAAAGAATGAATTACACTAATGACCTTTTCATAACTTTTAATTTATGTCTTTAACAAGGCAACGGGGAGTCACCAACAAATAATTGCTGAAAACAATCTATATTCACTTTCTCAATATTTTCATATCCATTTGATAAAACTGCTGCAAAAGATGTCAACCTAAAATATTTATTTAGAAAATGAATTTGTAAGATGTTTTAGTTGGCAACAAACACAACTGCTACTGCCTAAAATAAGCTTTCGTCCTTAATTTAAATAAACACTTAGGAATAAAACTTTTAATATTTGTGAATATATCAGGTTTGGTAAACTTGCTTTCCTTCAGGCAGGTGTTACATTTATACAAAGAATGTCCTTCAGCCCAGATGCATGTTTGGTTTTGTTTGTTTTCCATTATTCATAGAGTTCACATTATAAACACATTTCCCTTCAAAGGTGACTTACAATGGGAGTAAGGACTTGATTGCTAAAATACATTTCCTGTTGTGTTTGTTTAAAGTAGTGCTTGAACCCAACACAACAATACATTGACAATTCTTACTCAGAGTCTAAGTTTCCACCTCTCAAGTATTTTTAAGTCTCTTGCATGTTTTCACAAGGACAGGTATGACAGGAATTTGGCGTTTCTCGTGTTTTCTAAAAACCAAAAGTGACACCTTGAGTTCAGATCTGGGCTGTTCCACTTCTACAGTTAATAATTTGTGCTGTTCAGAAAGCAGAGGGGACACAGAAGCTTCTCCAGACAGACCCCAATGCCCCTCTCACATTAGAAAAGGGGGGACCAAAACCCCTGGAGCGAGGCACCAACACCCACCAGCAGACAACAAAGTGGTTTTTGGTCAACTTTGTGTCCTTTTGGATGTCCTAAGAGCCCAAGGAGCTCAGGCTCCCCCACCTCAGAGCTGGACACTGGACTTCCATCACCATCCAGCTGTTTTCAGCTCTCACCTTTTTATTTAGCTCAGCCAAGAACCTGCCTTGTAATGCTCCCAACTGACAATTCCACAGGAACCAACATTATTTCCATTCCTTTGACTAAGCAAAAGTTGCCATTCTAGCATGAATCTTTATCTAACACAGATAGACACTAAACACAGTGCAAATTATTAATTTCTTTTATATGGTTTGTTTGTGTTACAGATTTATTGTGAATTGAAGACATCACTACCATCACCAATCGAAAACCTCAGCCACAAAAATCCAAGTCAACTCAAAAATGCAAAATGCTGCTCTGTAAACACAGAAGAGTCCTCAAGAACTGAAAAGAGGAGAAGGAAGACCAGCAATTTCTTTCCATTTCTTGACTCTAAACCTGCTTATTACACCACAGATAAAGAGACCTGTCTCCCAACTATTTGTACACAGCCTTATGCAAATTAATGGGGGGAAAAAAAAGTTAGATTGACAATTAATCCAAAGAAAATAAATCATATTCTCAGTTGTCAGCCACCTCTTTTATCACCCCAAAATAAGCATCATGATAAAAATGCATGTTCTATTCATGAAATCTACGCATATGTATATATGAAAAGAAATATATGCATATATCACTCCAACAAAGTGACATTATAGAAGAAAATCTTCGTACCAGGTGATGAATAAGTGTTGATTTAATAAAAAAAAGCACAGTAATCCACTTCCAGATAGACAGCTTGTGAACATTCCATAAATAAATATGAAGGCCTTGTAAAAACACAAATACTAGAAACTAAACATGAAAGAGACTCCAATCTACTTGAATTACATTAAAAGCTTATGAATTACTGATGCACAGCTACTGCCCTCACACAGCTACTAAATCCACACAAACACTTTACATTTAAAACTCATTAATAAAGTGAGAATGTCTTGGCATGGATGAAAATTAATCCTTGGTGGTTTTGTATCTGCTGAGAGCTGGGCTTGGTTTTATTACTACGTAGGTTGAAAGAACACAAAAATAAATCAAAATCTAAAACTCCATTTGGATTAAACACGGACACACATATATTTCCAAGTGCTGGTGATTGTTCTCAGCCACAGGCTGTTGTTTTCCTGCAGGTTGACAACAGAACTCCCTGTACTCAAAGCTGGTTCCCACTTCTCATTAATCTTCCACTTAGCACCACCTTGCACCAGTTCTCATCAATTTTAGTTCATTAATTCATTACACCACTTCCCCTAGAACAGCCAGCTCTTCCATTTTCACAGATCTTGGGAGTACTTTCCAAAAACCAAGAGCCAATTGCAACCAAACAACATGAAAAAACATGAAAAATGTGTTCAAGGCACAGAAGTCAGTCCTTAACGATGCAAACCCTGTGATAACAAAATAAGATTCATTTTCCTCTGAACATTAAAAATAAAATTGCTTGAAAAATCTCAACTTCTCATCACCTCAGGGCTGACAAAGTGATACCTCAAAAAGCACTCAAGGTCCTCAACTTCTATAAATTTAATGAAATTCTGTAGTTTCAGCACCGCAGACACTTTCCTGCCCCATCTGCTTCATCCACAACTTTCCTAATTTTGTCCCTTCAAGACCTACTATATAAAGAAAAGGGAGGAGCCCCATATTAAGCTGTTTGAAATTCAGTAGTTGATTTGCACTTGGAGTTTTCAGTTGGTGTTAAGAGGAAAGATGTATTTGAAACGAAGAACTGGCAAAAAATAAAATAAAATGAAAAATCTCCCACAATATTTAAATTTTATACTGCTCCATAATTCCAAGACACACATATATGTTCATCACAACCTCTGGAAGTGCTAATTCGAGCATCTGCTGTAAAAATTGGTTTAAAAATCCTAAACTTATCTTCTTCTGTGGAAACCAGCTGGAAAAGACAGAAGGCCTGAGGACAGCACCAGTGTCCTACAGATAAGCTTGGAGTACTGGTTTCACTTACAAATGTGCTTTTTGACCCACCCTTTCTGTGAGGCACATTTCCAACCTCACCACGCACGTAAGATAAAAAAGAATTAAGTCATGTAAACACATTTTAACCAGTGAGCTCATGAGGGTCGGGGCGAAGCAAATGGGCTCCTCACAACTGGCAGCGAGATATCTCCCCTTCCACTGAGAAGCTGAAGCACGTTATTAAATGCTAATTTCAATGGAGGAGTATATCTTTTCAAAATTAAAACCACGCCAAGCTGAGGCTGAGCCTCTTTGCAGTACCCAAATGTCAAACTTCATCTGCTCCACGCGCGTCCCGATTTCCTGCACTTGGTGCCTCCGTGTGCTGCTCTTCCATACGGTGCCCTCTGCACTCCAGCTTTCCTCTGTTGGTTAAATTCATGTTAAGAAACAAAATAACCTACAGCAGCAGCAAAGACCTTGGTAGGTTTTAGAGAAAATAGAGAAAAACAACTCGGAAAAGCCGTTCCGTCGTTAGACGCAGCTCATCAGTTTTTATACCTTTTATCACCAGTTGAGAGGCAGCAGAAAAATAGGAAATTTCTGGCATGTTACCATTCAGACAAGAGAAAAGAAAAAAAAAAAAGGAGATATTTAGCTATAGTTGGGAAGTTTGCAGCTATGTATGAAACGCAGCCATTGCTGTTGCCTGAACATCATTCCTTTGGATTTCTGTCATTGTTTATCCTCCTCACAAAGAGTATGAGGCAATTAAACCCTAAGGCCATGTAAACAATACTGATGTCAAACATCTGTGCTGTCCCTGTTATTTAAAGCCAGGGAGGGTGGTAGCAGCAGAACTGCTTTTATGTGCCTCATCACACTTTCTTGCCCATTTGAAAAAAAAACAAAACACCACCCGAACCAGTCAACAGTCACCTGAAAATGGTTTTTCACCCCATCGCTGCCCTGTGTTTCCATAACATGGGTTGGGTGCCAGGAAAATTTAATTAACAGCTGTCAAATTTCAACTGATAAGAGTCTAACCTGCAACTGCCATAAATCTTTTTTTTGGTGGGGGGAAAGGAGGGAGGGAAGGTGATCTCTCCGTTTTTCGTGACAGAACACAAACATTCATCTTGTCCCCACTTACGGAAATTTGTCGAAATATTTAAATAGCTGATTTAAGAGGAACTCAATGAGCAGGTTAACAATGTTAATCAGAGATAGCTTTGAACTCCTGCCCACTGCTCACTTGTCTTCATTACAGGGCTCACCCTCAGGCCAGAGGTGGCATCTTGGAGCTTTAACATCCATCAGAGATTTCTTTTTTTTTTTTTGGCTATTTGACAAAACAGTTCTTGTTGCTTGCCAGATTTTTTTTATTTTTTTTTTCCAAGCCTATGAATATATGGGGGAGGGAGGGAGGAAGCGAGGAAGGGGGAGAAGGATGTAAACAATAACTGAGAACTTCAAAGTAAGAACTAACAATGTAGAACAATGACTTTGTGTATCTTACAGTGCACGACAAAACTTATTTGTCTTGGTGTTGTGCAGCTGCTGAAAGAAATCAGTGCACAGCACAAAGCTTTGATATTTTCATAGAAGAAAAAGGTTTCTTAACAAAAATATCAACAAACAACTCCAACTTTCTACTGAATCCTGTTTACTCAATTTTCACATGCAGGGTTAAAACAATAAATATTGATAATTTATACAGTGTTTTAAACCATTCAGGAAGGCCAAGGCAGGAGAGACTGTACTTGCAAAACAGTCAAGATTTATTATAAAGACATGCTGACTTCAGACTAAAGTAATTCAGAACAGTGTATCTCACATCATCATTAACAAGCTGTCTCTTCTCATTGTGTTATTTCTGTATCATATTGTAGCCTCAAAAATTTTTATGATTAGCTTGGAGGTATATTAATACTTTCCACATTTTACAGCTATTTAAGAGCCAGAATAACCTCCTAAATCTTTGAAAGAAAATCACTGGTGTGGAAAAAAAAAAAAAGGAAAAATACTTCACGGCAATTTATTTGAATAGAAATTTCTACAGTAAATGTAGATTTTAATCATATTGGAACTAATCTGTTTTCAAATGGAACTGCTGAAAAGCTTGTGGAGTT